GGGATTGAGGAGTTGAAGTCACAGCGACATCAGGAGCCAAAGACCTGTTTTGCTGCCAGACTTGGCTCCTGTGACTCCTTTGAGGAGTCTGCCTGCAGACAGGTATATCCACGAGGACAGCACTGCAAGGGATGGGGCTTTTACAAGACAAAGATCCCAGATCCATCCATTTGCACTGGAAACCTGCAGGACTTCTTTACTGATGTAAACTGGAGGAAGGTTGGCCCCATGGCCTAGTTTGGCCCTATTGCTCTAAGCCTGATGTAAGCACAGACTGCTCTAGCTTGAAAGATGCCTGCTGGATTCTTTGCATGTGGATCATTCCTACTGCAAAGCTTTCCCTGTTTACCCTTATAGGCTTTTATTTAAAATAGTCCAGACAAAGCACTGCGATTTTTCGTTTGAAACAGGTTTTTTTTATGATTAATTGATTTTTTTTACACTGGAGAAAACTTTCAATGTCTCATATTCAGCCAATTGGCTCTTCACAGGGGTTTTTCAAGCTTTTCCTCCACCACCTTTAATTCCCCACCATTCGAACAAGGGTCTTCTCCTGCCTTGATGCCGCCGTGAAATCACAATGCTATATTTGTCTTTCTAACATCAAAGTCATTTCCATTGTCACCAACTGTGATGTCATAAACATATTTTTAATGGCTTGTTTACAGCAGGGAACAGAAGGAGAGAAGAGATTATGGGTGGAAGGAAACTCTTATCGATACACAGCAGTTTTAAGCCCAACTGTGAGGCTGAAGCATGTGGGAAACTTGAGGCCAAAAACATTGCCTTGCTGAAACAGCTTCTCTTCTGAAGCTCATCCCAGCACAAAACCCCCTTTCTAAGTCACTAGCAAGCAAGCAATCCCAACAGATTACTATTGTGTCAGTCAGACAGGAGTTGTGCAAGGTGCTTTCTATGCTCGGAAGACAGCAAATCCATGCCCCAGCCCACCCATCTTGCTGTGTAAATGAACACACACAACACATCCCCAGCGACTCCTACAGAAGTGCTTGCACAGGACCCAGTGGCATCTGAGCACTATTGGCCCATATAGTTTTAATGTCTCAGGTCATAACAAGACTACCCTTGAGAGACACTTCAGTTGGACCAGAAGGTCATTTCTTGGTCAGCGATGGCAGCAAGGATGGGGGAGAGCTTTTGGCCACAGCAATAGCGAGGTCCCTGGGGCTGTGTGACCTCAGAGTCATGCTTCTAAACAAGCCCAAAGCAATGTGAACTCCTCCTAGCCAGCTCTCTGCTTTGGTGGCAGGGTTGGGACATAGCCAGCTGAAACAGGGGGGGTTGTCCAGGTTCCCCTGTTGTAACAGAAACAAAAACCCCACATCCTAAATTCCTCTCCCACAGGACACAGTTCAGAGTCAGTCTAACTAGAGTTTACCAACACGTCTGGTTTCTCTCAAGTAAAACTCACCCCTCACCTACACAAGGATGGATTGGGACTGTTAAGATGTGGGGCTGTCTCAAAGATATCACAACAAAGCATACCTGTACCTATGCTCCAAGGAGATTATCTCCCTCCCCTACCCAAAGAAAACATGGTGTGTGTGGGGGGGAAACTCACTGGACGATGAAATTCCTAAATCCTCATCCCATGAGAAGAATTAATGTAGTTCCTTCCCCGCTCCAATATCAGGAGCTCCCCAGTAGGAGATCCTATTGTACATCATACACTAGCAAAGGCCCATGTTTCAGGGAGCCCTTTTCCAGAGCGAGTGCAGTCCCTGGCACGCAGGAGCTGGGATTTCACACACTCTATTCATTCCCGAGGTGCAGAACAAGCAAACCACCATTTTGCTGCAGTCCCACAGCAGGAATAAAATGGTGGCATAGATGAAAACTGCCAGATCAAACACAATCCAGTTGCCTGTCACCACCTGCAGCTCTTCTCCGCCTTACATGCGACGCTGAATTCTGAAGCAGGTTAATATTTGATTTCTGGGTATTTAAACAAACAGAAAAACACCCCCACCACAAAGAAAACCCTCACAACAAAAGAATGTAATACTCTAACAGCTGATTAATATTGCAGCCATGAAGCACTGAGGTGCAAACTATCGATGCTAGAATTCGCATTCTTCCCACAATATGGCAAGTCCGCAATCACAGTTGCTTACTCCTAAGTGGCCCACCCAAAGCCACCAAGAAAACCGAGTTTAGGCATTTAACACAGAAAGGGCTCAATCACTTTTCTAGTATCCTTTAAGAAACAGTACAGTGGCTGAAAAAGGCAAAAAAAGTGTTCACTTAATTGCTACTAAACAGCTCCTTCCCCATGTTATATCATTTCCTTTGCTCACACACACAGTAAACTTACCCTAAAGCTGAGCCTGAGCACTAGAGCAAGTCCCAGGTCCCCAGGACTGGGACGGAAACACGTTCCTCACATTCAATGGGAGCCCAGCAACAAAATGAAATTAATTCCTCTCCATGAGGAATCCTGCTCTGGATTCAGCTTTGAGGTTAAATAATGATTTCCATATACAAGCAGTAATTATTACAGACAACTTAGAACGAAGCAGTGTAACATCTAACAGCAGTTCTTCCCAGCAGCACGCGTTACCTTTAAAATTAAAGCATACATCATCTCTTTAGAGCACAGAGCACATTTAAAATTCCTTATTTCTTTCTTTCACAGCCACTGACAAACAAAATACTTCTTGGCTTACACTTGCAACCAGTTTGATTTGTAAGGGCTTTAGATTTGCTGCATTCTGCTCTTCCAGCAACACATAATTCAGTGGTGGAAAACACTTTCTGTTAGATTCTGTTCAAGTATTACTTTTTACTTCCATTTCTAAATACCCCAATAATCAAATGCTGCAAAATGAATTGGTGAAGTGATGATTTTTAATGCATTTCACTCATGTGTAAGACATCTGTTGATAGCAGGTAGAAATTTCTTGTTCTTTCAGTATCTCCTATGTATTTTTACATGTGATAGTTAAACCATTATTAAAATAATAATCAAACCCACACACTGCAGAAAAAGCTCAAGAAAAGTCTGACTGAATGGTTAGGAAAAACATAAATCCCACTATACTTTACTGAAGATCTTTACTGAAGCACTGACCATGCCAGGAGTTACTGTAGTAAGTGCAGCATTTTATATCAGACTATCAGGTATTGCGAATCACTGGTGAGCAGTATAGAAATCATGTATTTTCAGCTTCTCATCTAGTAGAAATCACTACATAAATGCTCAATGAGAGCAACAGACCTGGTATTTCTTCCATTTTAGTCATGAGCAGCCTTTTGCTGGGTTCAATAAAGTCAAAACCAGGCTTTAGAGAAGCTCTTTGGATGTCCCCAAAACAGACACAGAGAAACCTTCCTCAAAACCCAGACACATGCCAAGACCAGGCACCATCAGAAAGAGCAAATACAAGGAGTTTCCATTGCCAGCATTGCCACTTTTAGGGCATCAGCTTCCTCAAACACAAGCTTAAAGACAGGGGAAAACGTTCAAGCTGGATCATTTCACAGCATTCTCTCTGCTGGAGAAGGTACAATTTGAGCTGATGGGGACTTTTCACACGTGAGAATTAAGAGCGGAGCTTTTTCATTGCTTGATCTCACAGACAACCAAAGCCCAGCCTTGTGAAAGGGCACACGTTACCACCATATAATAGTCCAAGTTTAGCCTAAAACATAAATGGTGCCTCTACAGCCTTAAATAGGGAAGCTGGTTCTGATGTATCGTGTCCCTGCTTTCCCCTTGGTCAAAATAGAGCAGGTATGGCAGATAAAACAGTGGATTTGAACAGCTCATTCCTATGTAGAAGACTGGCTTGCAGGTATTTACCACACTTTTAAAGGTAAAAATCTGGCTGTAAAGTGAATTTGCAGGAAAAATGTTACAGACACTAATGGAATTTTGCCTAAATTCATACTAAATGAATCAATGTTAAAGGAAAAATGACTATGATGAGTTAAAGGATGCCAGGATAGACAGCATGTATCTGTGCTGTATTAACCTGCTGAGAGCTGGGTGCAGCTAAAGAGCCAGCAGTATTCCCCCAAGGTGAGCTTGACACAGCCATGCCAATTGGGAACGTCCATGGTGGCAGAAAACCACCCTATGTTCTGCTGCCTTTGCCTCCCCCTAATTTTTGCTGTGCATCTTTTACCTCATTTCCATAACATCCCCAAATGAATCTGCTGGACTCTTAACAATAACTCAGGTTTCCTGACCCAGTTTTCCCTAAGGATTTTAGGGGGAAGAAAATAAAAGAAACCATAGAATTCCAGGCTGGCTGGGGTTGGAAGGGACCTTAAGGCTCATCCAGCTCCAACCCCTGCCATGGGCAGGGACACCTTCCACTAGAGCAGGCTGCTCAAATCAGACAAAAGGAAAATCTACCAACAAGCAGCCTTTCTACAGAAAACACCCCACAGATGGGTTATTGTCCCAAGCTCCTTACCTCTCACCCCAGAGACCTGCATGGTGCCTTTGGGAGCAAGCAACAGCTGAGAGAGGCAAAAGGGAAGACACGAGGCACAGCAGTCATCCAGGAGCAGGAAACACCATCCCATCCTGCAAGGCTTACTTCTATTTCATTACCCATTTGAGCCCATCTACAAAGTGCTGGGGGAAAGACATGCTTTGAGGAGAGGCTTGAAGGAGAAGACAATGGTGGAGAGAGATGGAGGGAGTCCCAGGAGGAAGTCATCAGTCATTAGACATCACCCACAGGTGAAAACAACTGCTCATCCTGAGCTTCTGTTTCCAAAAGCAATGAAGACACAGGGATAAAGATGTTATAGTGTAAGCACTTTTCACAATAAAATGGTAGAAATAGGGTTTTGGAGCATTCAGTTTATTAAATAGGATATTTGGCTTAACAAAGAGAGGCCAAAGATTCAGTGTATTATTATGGTGGAAGTAAGAAAGGATGATTAAATTCTCTTGTATATATATATATATATAAAAATATATATATTAAAGTAGATTTTTTTAATATATATTTACATATATATATATTCTGTTGAGCAGCACCAGAAAACACCCATTGCTGGGCAGCATTTACACCAGACCCTAGGAGAGCCATCGGATGGGCAATACTCAATGGCAAGAAAAAACCCTTTCAGAAGCAGAAGGATGAACCCCTAAAGTTATTAAATTAATAGGAACCATGAGGGGAAAATCTTGACTGTCTTTGCTTTGGCTCACTGGCAAGGCTGCAAAAGGAAATGTGTTGGGGAAAAGGGTTTATGCTGCTCCTGGAGGCGGCCATCTGGGATGCTGAGATTAGTCTTTGAGATTTCTATTATCTGAAACTCCACTGGCAGGCTCTGCAAAAAAAAAAAAGAGGAGTTTATAAATTCTGTTAGCGGGGTTTAAGTAAAACTATTTTATCTGGGGACTAAGAAATATGTGTAATTACCGTAGGTGGATAATGCTTTTTCATTGCCATTCCCCAAAATTAGTTTGCCAGATATTATTCCTAAGAGGTATAATTAAAATCAACATAAAATCCAGAACACAGTGAAAATAAAACATCAGGAGATAATGTCTTCAAAATTACTAGACCAAACAGTCCTCTGCACTGCGGTACAAGCATAATCACTCCCTGGCTAGCAGTGTTTGTTTTCCCTGTACAGGGATGCTTTGAACTCCCAGGCTGCTCAGGCGAGCTGTTACTTCGCAGGCCATTGTAAGAAGCAGTTATTCCATAATACTCTGTCTTAAACTCTTTCCCTAAACAGCAAATGAGAGAACTTTATTGAATGCAGGGTCTTGACGCTGCGTTATTTCCAAAGCTCCCATTGAAAGCAGCCTGGAAACCTCTGTGGGTTTGTAGGCAGGTTCAGGTCTGGATCCATGTACCTGCCGTTAACTCCTGCCCTGGCAAAGTGTCCAGGGATGTGAATGGGACTCAAGCCAGGGATAAAAACCAAATGTTGGATTCCACATTGAGCACCAGGAGAGGCATTTCAGAGCCAGGTACTTGCACCAGATGTTTAATCCTGTTTTCTGCTCCTAGACAAGGCATAACCTGATGGTAGATGCCACCTCTCATTACGAATGTCTGGCCACCCTTGTTAATGAAAGACTTTGTTTTCTTTTTGCAAATGTTATTAAGCAAAGAACAAACTGATTGTCTAAATTGATTAAGCAGATTCATTCCAGTGAAAAACTTATTATTTGCCTGGCTCATTTCATCAAATCAATCCCGAGGAAAAAGGCTCCATGAATTAAACTAATCATAAATATCTACTTTAAAAGCCAGCCGTTAACTGGCAGGATACAGTTAGTGCCGTCAATCACTAGGACAATAAGTGACTTTGAAAGCAGCATCTTGCATTGCTTCTCAGCACCTTCTTTGCCTTTTCTTGCAGAAAATTGGTGTTTGGGAGCCAAATTCTGCCCCTATTTGGTCCCATACATTCTCATTAAACGTCTATGGGAGCCCAGGAGTCATTCTTGGGTGAAAAACCCCATAAGATTTGATTGGCATTTCCCATAAAATAGCAATCAGATTCTAATTAGAACACTAACTCTGATAGATTAATAAGAATTTCTGAGTGTTTCAGTACAAGGTCTTGAAAAAGCCACTTTTAAAACATAAAATGACATTCATTTATTAGACCGAACACACACATTCATTAGGCTCACTCCCATCACAGCCAGAGAAGGTTTCTCTGTAATCTTTTTCAGGACATGGATGGAAAAGGCAGCCCAGAATGCTAATAATCAATTCAGTTAAAAAGAAAGATCAACCATTGCATTTATATTTTCCCAGCATATTATAGACACGGTTTGGGCTTTTTCTGGCTGGATATGTTTGCACACACACATGCTTTCGAGGTTTGCTCCCTACAAAAGTACCTTTGAAACCACCATTCAACGAGGACCTTTTCTTTGCAAATAGGTTTGTCATGGATGGCTTGCTAAAAGCACACAGGTCTTGCTTAACAGTTGATCCAACTTCTTCTTCTTCACAGCCTTTGAGCCCAGAGGTGCAGCAGCATCGCTGCCAGGATCCCCTCCCAGTGTAGCCATAACTCCCATAGCATCAACAAGGGTTAAGCCAAGACATTGTGAGGATGTGGTGCGTGGTACAGCCTTGGAGATACCTTTGCCCCATCTCCATCTTGGTCCCAGGTTAACAATTCAAAGTAACATTTTCCTACCAAATGCTTATATTCAGTCCCACAGCTCTTTGATGAAGCCAGTTTCAGTCTTATGCTGAACTTTGAGACCCAATTTGGCTGGCACCACTGATTTAACACACAGGCCCATGTACACAGAAAACCACTTTACAATTACAGCTCCCTGGTCTCCTCTTCCTTTTCCAGTAGCTTTTCTCTAATAATAAGAGGAAAATTCACCTCTGCCCATTGTACCTGCTAAGGGCTGAGCTCATGGGGCAGATGCCATCAGGTAGACTTTGGGTTCTTCAACAAATAAGAAAGTTTTACAACGGCTCAGTCTGAGAGCAACAGCTGCAAACACTGTGGCACCAGCAGTAGTTCAAAAGCACATGGCACAGACAATAACAGCAAAGCTCAGAAAGCTAAGGCAGAGAAAGAAACTTGTATACAGAACAGCATCACAGTAAGAATGTAGTGCTCTGCAAGGCACAGTAATGACACTCTGAGGGCTTCATCCCTGCCCTTCCCACTGGAGGGGGGGTTCTGCATCCTGCATTCCGCATCCTGGTGGGGGACAGAAACACCCCATCACAGTGTGCAGGGTGCTCAGGGAAAGGAAAGATTCCCACTTTTCCAGATGGCTTCACATGGAGCCCTCAGGCCATCACCACCCACTGACACCCCATGAGCTGCCTGAGCCGATGGGCACAGGACCCTGCCAGCACCACTCTCTCCCACTCTCCCCATCAAGGTGTCTATAAGCCTGATCTCTGTATAAGCAAATGTTTTGACTAGGGACTTAAGAGAGCAAGCAATGACAGCTGAGAAATAAAACCCCAAGCACTTTCAATAGCAGAAGTTTTCCTTCAAAACTCTTATCTGCTACATCATGTTAAATGCCCACAGTATATCCATGCTCAAATACTTAATTTCGCTAGGTCTTTTCATTTCAAGACCTGTCTTTTTTGCCATTCTGATTCTTTTTAGCATCCCAAGGAACAGAAAACCCTTTTCAGACCACATTTGCCAGCTAAGCCAGACTCCCCTTCCTTATGGCATTAAGGAGCAGGGCACTTTCCTAGAAGGCAGTGAGGATGAAGCCCCTGGCAAGAAGCTCCTGGGTGCTCAGGGGACTTCTTGCAGGACACAGGGCATTGATGCTATGGTGAGAGCTCTGCCAGCCCATACGGTGCTGGCTGACAAAGCCTGCTGCCAGCTGGGAAGTAACACAGATTGGAACTGACAGAGAAATGTGACAAATTCATTATTAATAGCACAACTACTCTTTAATACGTAGAAGGCTGTACTAGATTAATAAAACCAGGCTTTTATATTCCTATCTGACAGCTGTGATGGCGTGTGATCTGCAGGAAAGCGAGCGCTGACGATGCTCTGGCTCTGGCTGCCATCGGGATGCTGCAGTTGGATTGGGCAGGGACAGGATTTCTCTCCAGGACATTGCAAGTCCCGCACGCTCCAGAAGGTCACGCAGGCTGACTGTGTGGCAGGGCAAAGCACTCACACAAAAGGTCAGCGTGAGTGGAAACCTGCACACAGTTCCTCCTCGGGGGGTGCAAACCTCCCTGTGTTCATTAGCATCCGCCCTGGTTTAGCTGAGCCCATAGTGGGGTGCGAGGGAGCTGGCTGAGTTGTGGATCAGGGCCAGAGGGACTTGCTCACACCCAGCTGCAAATCAAAGCTCCAGCAGTGCACAAGTGGATTTCAGTCCCTCGCTGTCCACCTACCTGTGCACAACACACATCCACAAGCTCTCAAGCAACCTATATCTCACTCTATACATGTGCACACATATATACCTATACGTATGTGTGTGTATAGATGTGTGTATATACATATAGATATATGTGTATATATAGTATAGTAGATATATGTATACATACACATATAGATACATGTGTATATATAGTAGATATGTGTATGTATACATACAGATATATGTGTGTATATAGTATAGTAGATATATGTATATATACACATATATATGGACACATATATATGTGTGTATATATACACATATAGGCATATATGTATAGATATAGTGTAGTAGATATAGATATGTATAAACATATATATATACACCATACATATATATACACTTTTATTTTACTCCGGGTATTTTTACTGCAGGTGTACACAGGAGACCCATCAGCATGTAATATAAATACTTCATTTAACAGCTCATTAGCATCTATTCCCTCTACCTCTGCTATTTTTTTTTCCACTTGTTCTCTTCAGAGGAAAGAAAACACAGTGTCAGGGAAAAATATTTCCAACAAGCCTTGGAAAGGACGAGTAATTCGGCAAAATGCATTCACTTCCTCTTATTCTCGCCTCCTTGAAATCTAAGAGCAGCTGCAGTGCACTGGCTGCTTACGAACAACCCCGCGCAGTTCCAGAGGCAATGTGTGGCCACAGAGAAATACCATGCGAACTTCCGGATTTTCCTTGTGGAAAAGAGATTGGTTCATTCCTTTAGAATGAATTATCCTGATAACTGGCTGCTTCTTTTCAGCATCCTTAGCATTTTCTGCCATCTTCTGCATTTACCAAGGGTAGGTTGCATCGCCCTTTGCCACCTCCCTCGCAGCCGGTACTAAAGGTCTCAGCATCACCTGGTTGACATGTACCATCCCCTCGCAGCATCCCGGCATTCCCAGGGCTTGGAGGATGAGGCAGGTTTATGCTAACCTCACTGCAGACACACAGCTACAGCCTGGAGCTCCCCAGGACAAAACCAGGGCAGGGAATGTGGCTTTTAGAAGACGCAGATGTGACATTGATTTGCAACAGGCATTATCCAGCCATGAAAACCCTCCTGTGCAAACCGGAGCCCTGCTTCCCAACCGCTGCTCCAAGAAGGGAACCCACCGGTGCTCCTCTCCCCCTTATCCTGTCCCTGCAGGCCCTTGTCCAAAGCCCTTTCCCATGTTTCCTGTAGCCCCCTTAGGCACTGGAGCTGCTCTAAGGTCTCCCCTTAAGGAGCCTTCTCTTCTCCAGGTTGAACAACCCCAATCACGGCCAAGATGCTGCACCCAGCAAGAGGGGACCTGCAAACACATCCGAGGAGCCGGCATCAGCCACACCAAGCAGCGAGGGGCCGGGGCTGAGGACTCCTTGGTCCTCAGCGGTTGAATTAAAGCCGGGGGGCGATAGCAGCGGCACCGGGACCCTTTGAG